TATAACCTTTTTAATGTACCCTGTCCAGCAGCTGCAAGACACAGGTACAAACCCTCTGGGTGCTGCAGCGATAGCACACACCGTTTGCCAGACGGTGCGTGCACCTGAGCCAGTCGTCACCCTGCGTGGTCAGTCTCTCTCCTGATCCCCACACTGCAATTCGGGGACTGAGCGGGTGGGACTAGATGCAGCCCAGTTCCTTAAGGCGCAGTCCTTTGTTTACATGGAAAACTGCTGGGAATTGTAGGGTTTTTTCCTGGCTAAATGCACATAGGATCTGACTTGACTACTATGCTACATCAGCTGTGCTCAAATTCCCACATTCTCTTGTTTGGGCAGACACCTCCGAGTGTGTGTGTGTGTGTGTGTGTGTGTGTGTGTCTTTAAAGCAAGAACTCCCTTTTCAAAAGGTTGGCTCAAAATATGTAAGACTCTGCCAGTGGCCATGTTCTGCTGGATTTCCTGTGAACCTCTGCCTGAGCCGCAGGTGTTCCTGAGAGATTAGGGAAGGCAAGCTAGCAGGAGACTTTTCCTTCTTGCTGGCATGGCGGCTAAGCTAGGAAATGCTCAGACCAGCCTAGGGTATTTTTCCCCCATTGCAACAGCATCCTCTGCTGCAGGACTTGCCCCTGGGAGTTTTTGTTGTTGTCTGGGGCTTTGAATTAGGATCCAGCTGAGTGAATTTGCATATGTAGCTAGTCGCTGATAACTTGGCCTTTTGTTAATGCATGTTTGATGTTGTGGCCTTAGGCAGAGGGAGGAAATGACACTGTTTAGAGCAGAGCAGGCTGGATAAAAATCAATATTAAAAATAAAATAAAATTGAATTAAAAAAAATAAATGGTTTTTTCATTTAGATTGGATTTTTTTTTAGTAAAATGCTTTTTGTGTAAAAATCTATCTAAAGATAGTTTTAAATAGAAAACTAATACACTGGATTATGTTGTTGTTGTTAGTTGCGAAGTCGTGTCTGACCCATCGGGACTCCATGGACAACATTCCCCCAGGGCTTCCTGTCCTCCACCGGCCCCGGAGTCCACTTAAGCTCACACCAACTGCTTCAGTGGCTCCATCCAGCCACCTCATCCTCTGCCGCCCCCTCCTTCTTTTGCCATCTTTTGTTCCTAATGTATCTTAAATAAGAATTATAGTCCAAAGGTTATTCATCATGAAATAAGGATCAGTTTTTAATTATGTAGCATGAGGCTTATTCAGGCAGTGTTTAAATTTTTTTGGTAAATAAATTCAGTAGAGCCATTCACAGTGTCATGATCTTCCAGGAGTTTCTGTAAAATTATTGGGCAATTTTCCTGCCTAGAAGATAGTATCACAGCTTGGTTTTATAGTTCTCAAAACTGTGAATTAGTGTCACAAATCACATGCCTCTTCTTCACAGCAAAAATGTAATATAAAGTGAGCTTACAGAGTTGAGCAAAAGACCTTAATCCCATTGTTTCTTTGCAAATCTGTGTATGCAGAATCAACCCCTTACCTCTTAAGGGCTAAATTTCAAAAAATTCAATGAATAGAAGAAGATGGTTGGGAGCGGAATAGATTTCTGCAAGAAGCTAAGTGTGCGGAGGGAGAGGCAAGCGGCAAAAATGAAAGTGAAACCTTTGGAGCAGAATTCTCTGCAACTCTGGAAGTTTGTGTGTATCACCTGCGATTTATAATATAGTTATCACTGCAGGAGGCTGTAAACAAGACCCTGTTAGGGAATATTTTAATGAAAGTCCTCAACCCATGGGTAAGGCAGGCAAGTCTGCAACTCGCCCATTCTTACGGACTAGTGATTTAAATCAAGTCTTGCTGATCAGTTTGATTTAAATCAAATCCACCCTGAAGCAGAGGCTTCAAGCCCGGATTCTGGGAGAAACCCTGGGAGTCCTACTGGTGGCCAGTCGTGGGCAGGTTTTCTCAAAAGACCATATGCTTGGACTGACCGACGCGACACTGCGATGCACAGCCAATGCGGAAGTACAGGTGTGGCTGGCAGCGTTCAGGTGGGTCAGGACCCGCAACGGGATCGCAGCCTGGCCTACCACCGTACCACCGTAGATTTTGATGGTAAAAATATGAGGAAGTGAGTCCTATTGGGAGCCTTCCCGACATGGGCCCTTCCAACCACGCTGTGGAAAAGCTGCTCCATGGCACACCCAACCGCCTCGAGCCACTTGCCGTGGTTCTCAGGTGGGAGAGCGGGTGTTGGAAGGGTCCCCGTTGAGGGGGGGACATGTGGGAAACGGACAGCCTTCAACCAAGGCAGCTGACCTAAGTCTCCTTCACCCTGTTTTCGTCTTCACAACAGCAGGCCTGTGAGGTGGGTTGGGCTGAGAGGGAGCGGCTGGCCCAAAGTCACCCCGTGAGCTTTGTGGCCAAGTGGGGGCTAAACCTGGGTCTCTCGGGTCCCCCATCCAGCACTCAAGCCGTTCACACCACAGTGGCTCTAAACTGAGAGGAGGAGAATCTCGTAAGCGGCCTTGAGTTCCTTGAGAGGGAGAAAGGCAGGGTATAAATGCAAGCAAGCAAGCAATAAATAAATTAATGCCTGTGTTTGGCTGGGTTTCGATCCTTGCTCATTTGGGACTAAACTTGTAGTGCATGTGGGGGGATGACCCCATCCCAGTAGCCCCTGGATCAAGCCACAAACTGGGAACCGTGAGTGCTTGGAGAGCGCTGCAGCTCAGTGCCTGAGTCCTTGCTCTGCACGCTGAAGGTCCTGGGTTCAAGCGCTGGCTCCTTCGCTTCAGGCTGGAGCAGGTGCCGCCAGGCATTCTGGAGAGCAAGTCCCATCAAGCGCAGTGGTGCGTCCTTCGTTCACTGGGCCGGCTTGCTTATCCAAAGCACCCCGATCGTTGCAGGAAAGGCTCGTTGCATCGGGTTCTTTCTGTGCCCCCAGCACAAATATCTATGGTTATTGTCGAGTGGAATAAAATCACCAGAATAAGTGCTCTTTAAATGAGACCACTCGGAGGGGTGTGTGGGTGAATTTAAGCACATGTCTGGATGCTTAATGTCCTTTTGTGTCCCTTCTTACGATCTTGGCTTCCTCCAAATCCCAACATGGCAATATTGGAAAGTCTGTTGCTTTAGCTTACAAATCATCAATGCCAAAGATGTTTCTGGGAAAGAGGTGGTCAATGTTACTGAGGACTAGTAACTTTATTTATATATGTGTGTGTATATTTAAAGTACGTTTTTGTTTTTAATTGCACAAATAGGACTGTATCCAAATGGAGGCTTGCCTAATGTGGTTAAAGTGATATTGGGAGTGCCCGACTGGGACCAGGGAGACTTTGGTACAAATCCCAACTTTACCAGCAAGATGTTGGGCTGGCCACTGCCGCTCAGGTTAACCTACCTCACAGGACTGATGTGAGAGTAAAGTTGGGGAGAGAATGCGATATAGCACACTGAGCTTTTCAGAAGGGAGGGTGGATAGAAACAGTGCTACTTCCAAAAGAGACAATAATTCACAGGAAGGCCTTTTTCCTCCCTGCTCTCAAGTACTCCTATTTTTCTCTGTCAGACTTTTTGTGAGGAGATCCTACATCCGTCCTCAATAGAGACGTGTGTGTGTGCATGCACACATGTGCGTGCAAGAGAGACCGAAAATGAGAATTGCTGGATGTCCTTGTGGCAATCATGGCTCGGAGTTACTGGACTGTCCTGTCGAAATTTGCTTCACATGACTGGTGCTGCTGGAGTCTCTTTCCAAATCAAGAGGACGCCTGGGATTAGCTGAGACAGTCTGCGGCATCCTGCTCCCAAAACAAAAGAGCAAGTGTGACCGAGTTGGGAGAAGAGGCCTTTGGGTGTTGAGCAAACGTGGCTTAGGCTGGCCTGTGAAAATCAGATCCTCGTTTGCTTCCCGTAGAGACTGAGCTGCTCTACTGGGGATCCTTCTCTTCGTGAGCAGTCAGGCAGGCATCCAAACCTGTGGTCCTTCTTGACCTACGGCCCGAACAAGTCCCTGATTGTTGCATCAGCGTAGGCAGAACGGAGGTCGGGAAACGGCCCTGCAAACGACTGAGCGTGTTCAAGTTCTGCTTCCTGGTAAATGGGTAACCAATGCAGTCCTTGTTCGCTACCAGCCACAAGAGAGGCCCCGTTCTCGTCCTGTTCCATCTCAGAACTGACGTCCTGAGCAACCTCTCTCTGATTAATTCATTTGGAGAGAAATCTGCCCTGCCTTCCTCCGTCCTCAGAATCCCCGTGCACTTCTCTAGGATAAAGAAATAGGATCCCAGCAAAGCCCTATTCACCCCCAGACGATGCACACAGGCTGCAATGCCAAATGAGCCCGCGAAAGGCAGCAAAGACGAGGCTTAAGGACCTGCTGCCCCTCCAGTTGAGGGGTGGCCTGCAGAGGCCACGCCGAAAAGAGGATGCAGACGCCGCGAGCCCCGCACACGCCGATGCTGCTGCCAGTTGGTGCATCAGGCTGCCTGGAGTTGGAGAGGCCACGCACCTTCCAATTTCGGAAAGCTTTCAGCACCCAGATTGCCGCAGGGAGAGAGCAGCTTAGAAGCATTCCTGTAACAGCCCCGCTCTGCAGTGTTTCACAACTGCTACTGTGTTCCGGCTTAGCAAGGCAGGTCAGAATTCTGCCCCGGGGTTTGTGGTTTAAGGGAGAGCGACTTGCCCCAGGTCACCGAGTCTGACTGTGGCAGGTGCAGGTTGGACTTCAGAATCTGGCAAAATGTTTAATTGTGATGGAACATGGGGTGGGCGGCGGATGCCCCTCGTTCAAGTCCAAGAAAGGTCTGATGTGCTTTCTAGTTCCTGTTTCAGCTTGCAGTACTGCAGAAGGTTCTTTACTATTTTTAAGAATAGAGAAACAGCGAGCCAGAAGGGTCTCCCGGGCCATCTAGTCTGGCCCCCAGTTCCTGCCGGCTCCGCTCACGACATGCCCACCATGGGCATGTCCAGCCTATCTTTGAACACCCTCCCCGATGGGGCCTCAACCACCTCCGGGGAAGCCCGTTCCACACCCTCGGGAACCATGAGGACTGGAATGTTAAGGGACAGTTCCTGGCTCAGTGGGAGGACAGTGCTTTGCATGCAAAGGTTTTGCCCCTCACAGCTTCAAGGAGGGCTGGGAAAGAAATGCGGGACAGCCGTGGCTCTGGTTCTGTGGAGACAACGCTTGTGTGACTTTTCCCAAATAGGCTTGCCTGGTGTCCATGCTATGCTCTTTCTGATGCCAGGCAAAGATCCCCCTATTTCCTAAACATTCTGAGTTTTTTAGTGTGTTTAAATCTGTGATTGTATTTTAATCTTTGTGTTCCTGCTAGGTTTTGTTGTGCTTTTACTTCCATTTTATGCTGCAATTTGCATTTTTAACATCGTGAAGGGTGTCTTTTGCTGTATTTTATGGATTGTTGTGAGCCATTGGGCAGTATAGAAAGAGCACTGATCGATCGATCAACGCTTTCTGGGTGAATTCCCTCTGGCTTTCCTGGACGCCTGATGAGGTGCCGGCAGGGGTGTGGGGAGCGGGGCTTCCTGGGTGTGGGCGAGCTGCTCTTGCCTTTTTGCTCAAGGGGTCTTTCTTCTCTCCCGCCCCCCCCCCAACTCCTGGCTCTGCAGCAGATGACAGCTCGGCTGATGCTGGCGGTCGGAGGAGCGGTCCTGGGTTCCTTGCAGTTTGGTTACAACACTGGAGTCATCAACGCCCCTCAGAAGGTAAACGCGACAGCCAGACCAGGCCCACTGGCCCCCGGCGCCAGCGTGGCCTGGGAAAGGGTGCACGCTTTTCTGGCGGTCAGCCTGTGTGGGCTGGGTGCCCGTCCTGGAAGACAGTCCTTGCTCCTCTTCATTGCCTCCCACTTGTCTCCCACGCAGTGTGTGGAAGTTGCACACCGACACTGGGTGACCACCTCTTGCCTGGGAGGCTCTGGAGCTCTGATGAGGTCTATGGCTCTAAGAGATAGAAACATCGAAGCAGAGCAAGCCAGAGGGGCCTCCCGGGCCATCTAGCCTGATCCCCGGCTCCAGCCGGCTCCGCTCACAACATGCCCACCATGTGCACGTCCAGCCTGTCCTTGAACACCCGTACCAACGGGGCCTCAGCCACCTGCCGTGGAACAGAAACATAGAAGCCGAGCCGGTCCGTGTTTAAACCTTCCGGTGTTTAACTGGCAGCATGGAAAAGACAAGACTGCAACCAGCCTTTCCGCGGCAGGAAGCCGGTGTGCAGGAGAGCTGGGCTGGGGACCTGGGAGAGGCAGGCTCTTGTCCGCACTCCGCCGCGACACTCACTGGGTGACTTTTGGGAGCCACAGTCTCTCAGCCCAACCTCCTTTGCAGGGCGGGTGTCGTGAGGGTAAAACGGGGCCGCGCAAGCCAGCACGGGCTGCTCACAAGAGGGGAAAAGGCAGGATGGAGATGACGGTGATGGTGCAGCCCATCCAGGACGGAGGAACCTGCTTGGGCAGGGGATGGCCAGCTCTTGTTCAGCTGACTGCCTGCACGAGGCGTGCGGTCGCTTTTCCGCAATTCCTGCTTGCGCAGGTAGAGCTCCGCACCTGCACAGCTCTCAGAAGGGAAGTGCCCTTCTGGACCCGGCCAGAGGGACTCAATGTATAGGGTGGGGGTAGAGCTGCCCCCACCATCCTGCATTCCCCCACCGTGCGTGTTTGGTCACCTTGGATACGTTACCAGAACGGAGTTCATAAAACGGCTCTCTCTGCCCACTCCGCACTGTATATAGAATTCAGGATTGCTTCCAGGTGACCAATGTTATAGAAGGTGGCGATTTTTGGATTGCGGCCAGGTTGGCTTGTGCATCTAATCAGTTTTGCAGGATTGCCCTATAGAGAGCAGGCATGCGAACACTCCCTTTAAAAGGTGCCAAACCAGTGTTTTTGAAAGGCTGCTGCCACAATGGTCATGAGGAACTCCCTTCTCCAATCTCTTCCTCCTTTCCCCACCAAAATAGAGCATCTGGTTAGCCAGCTTATGGCCGGCTCTAATGGGATTTGTTAAGCTGGTTCCCAGGAGAATTAGTTTTCTGTGTGCTGAGAACTTGAGAGTCACAGCCGCTTCAATGCCAGTCTTATTTTGGTTAATACTCCAACCCCCAGAGATGGATTTTGGAGTGGAATTTAAGCATGTGATTTAACTGGAGTGATTTGCAAGCTTTAGATTGGATCATTCCCCGTTGCAGGATATCGTACAGTTAGGAAAGGGCAACTGGAACTGTTGGGGTGCTCAGCGCCCCCCCCCCCCGTAAGTAAAGGCTAGAAAACATATTAGTTTAAAACTAAGAGGCAGCATGGCAGAGCAGCTGCCCCCAACTGGCTGCCTCCAGACGTTTGGGACTACAGGTCCCAGCATCCTTGACAACTGGCCCTGCTGACAGGGACTGATAGGACTTGAAGTCGAAAGCATCTGGAAGGCACCTGATTGGGGAGGCTGTGAGTGGTTATCGTGAAACGATGCCTGGTTTGGAGAACGTGGCCAGCGAGAAGTTTTCTCTCCTGCTCCTGGAATACAAGGTGGGGGTCAAGCAGTGAAGTGGGTTGGCAGGGGATTCGGGACAGGCAAGCGGATGCCCTTCTTGACGCAAACTATAGTTACAACATGGAGTTGGCTGCCTTAAGCCGTGAAAACACGGCTTGGCAACTCGCGGCCATCAGCCACAGCTGCCTTCAGGTACGGAATCGGTACACTTCCGAATACCGGCTGTTGGGGCAGGGCAAGCGAGCAACGGGAATGAGCTCTGCATGGGTTTCCTGCTGGTGTCCTGCTGGCCCCAATGGATGGTTGATCCAGCGCAGTGCAGCTCTTCCTACGGCGAGCCATTTCTAACCATTTGTCCGCCTGCTGCTGATTATTATTGCACGACAATGGAGTCCCAGGCCAAAGGGCTCTGCTCTGCACCTCACCGGCCCACCCCAAAGTACAGCAACGACGGCACTCTGCCGAGGGCCCGGAGCTGCCGAAGTTCGGAAGGCCACAATGCGCTTTCAGTGGGAAGAAACCCGCCAGAATTAGTTGCAAGTCTCTAGCAAATACGACCCTGCATTACTTATTTCTCAGAAGTGCCCTCAAAAGCCTCCTTTAAGCACACTCTAATCTGCGTGCTTGGTACTTAAGATATTAATTTGAGCTGAAAAGAAATTTCCCCCCTCCGCGCCTAATTAGGAGGATACAATAATCTCTCCTTGCACTGTAACATCTTAAATCGCTTTCTGAGTTGGAAAACAACATGGACTGGGCTTTTTTGCCCCGTTGACACTGAGAGAGACGCACAAGCCGTCTCAATGAAATCATGCAGTAAAATGCCAGCTTCTTGGAGCTAAAGGCTCTCACCTGTGCTCCCTTGGTCACAGACAGGTATTTCTTGATTGGCTGCCTCTTGGTGAGTGGCTGTCTGTATTCACCAGAGTTCTTTTCAAATGCCAAAGGTAAACAGCCCTGGGGGAATTGCCAGGCCAGAAGTCCTGGGAACGCTCTCTCCTCTAGTGGAAATTGCCCCAGGCTGGTGATGTGTGTGTGCCCCATCCTGTCCATTGCTGGGCTGTCCCCGGGGGTAGGAATGGTGATGTGTGTGAATGTAAGCCCCACATGCAGGCTTTCTGCAGATGGCAGGTCCCCAAGCTGCTTTGGGTCAGCTCATCCAGCCTCTTTTCAGCCAGCAACAAAAGAGCAGAAATCTGGAATCCGTCCCTGGCCCCGAGCTTAAATGCTAAAGATGCAGCACGCGTGGGAAAGAGGCAAGAGCTGGATCTTAGTTGCAGACTTTGTATAAAGGTCAGCTGCGATGAAAAACATTCCATAGAGGGGAGATGCTCAAAGTTGCTAATCCTCCGTGGGGCCCACAAAGTCTGCAGTGAGGGGTTCATGCCATTCTCGGCCAGCAGCCACATCAGCTGAGTGTGCCGTGAACAGCAGGCCTGCGCATCTCCAGGGTGCCTGCTGGGAGAGGGCTGCACGACGGGGTCCTTGGTGTGCCCCATGACTTCAAAAGAAGAAAGCACCATCAGATGGGACAGGACTGCAAAAACCCATGGCCATGCGGGGCTGAAACAGATCGGTTGCTTATTCTGCATTGGCAAGGAGAGCTGCTCATGAGTTATTCTTGGAATCCTGCTTTAATATGTATTTTTAAAGCATGTTAAAAAGTATTGAAAAACACACAGGAAGGCACCCAGCAAAAACAAAACCTGCCGGATTCCAGAAGGGCCAAGCAAGCCAGCAGCAACTGCTCTCCCTCTGTTCCTGGAAGAAATTAGAAATTCAGATGCAGCCACCTGCGGGAAAGACTGCTCAGCTGTTTCTTCCCCTTGTGACTTTTTCTTCCATCCTGCATGGCAATTGTGACTCAGCAAGAAGCCAACCTGCAGGAAGTTGTCTTTTGGATGTTATCAGAAGGCAAGAGGGAAGAACAGGCCCCTTTCTACTTCCTCCTCGTCTCGGTAACCTAGTTGGCCAGGTGCCCGACCTTCTCTGCCAGTCTGGTGCCCGCCACCGCCTAGTGGAGAAGATGCGTCTCCATCATGCGATGCCAAGCGATCTCTTGCCCCGGAACAACTCCGGCTCCCAGCATCCCACCGCCAGCAATGGAGACTGCCATAAGGTTTCCCCTCTGACTCACGCAAGGGACTTCCAGCCTGCTCCGCAGCTGCTAGAAGGTGAAACGCTGAAACACCGGGCGGAAGGCCAAGAGGCTGGCTTGCCTGGGAGCAGAACTGCAGCTTGCATGCGACCGAGCCCCCCAGGTTTCGCTCTGACGTCCAAGGACACTCTTTGGGACAGGCTTCCGCACCGTGGGTAGTTCTTTGAACAGCTACGACTAAGTGCTGGAGTAGGTTCCCTGCCACTACAACCTGCTTCCTGAATGGTTGCTTGGTTGCTTTCTGGAGCAGAAGGGTAGCCGAGAAAGGCCTCCTGTCCGATCTAGGGGCACCCTCACAGGGTATATGAATAGAGGAATTTGTCAGCATCAGCTGACAAATCCTGCAAACGTCACTAAGTGCGACACTTTGTCTCTGCCCGAATCCCTCTGCTGTTGACGACTTGCCTAGATATGACTGGCTGGCGCTTTGTGTTTTCACCTTCTAGCGGCTGTGGAGTGGACTAGAAGCCCTGTTCGTCAGTCCGAGCTGAAACCTCGTGACGGTCCCCACTGCTGGCTGTGGGAGGCTGGGAATTGCAGCCCGACCCCAAGGCTGACGCACGGGGTGCCTGAAGGATTCATTTCTGTTGCTGCCCCTCTGCAGGTGATAGAAACATTTTACAATGAAACCTGGTACAGCCGCTATGAGGAGTACATCAGCCGGGGTACCCTCACCACACTGTGGTCGCTCTCTGTGTCCATCTTCTCGGTTGGTGGGATGATCGGGTCGTTCTCCGTCGGCCTGTTTGTGAACCGGTTTGGGCGGTGAGTAAAGCTGCTTTTTTCTGGGGCGCTGCCGGCCTCCCTCCCCTGCCTGGCGTGTGCCCTCGTTCTGCCCGTTCTCCCCACTCACGCCCCTCTGCCGCTTCGTTTCCCCCAGAAGTGATTGGCTGTGGCGTTACTGATGGAGAAGCAAATACGGCCACGGCTGCCGTTGCTCCATAGGGAGCCATGCTGTTTGTTGTGGCGGCAGCTGCCATGGTTTGGGATACCCACAATGCATTGCAATGGGGGCTTGTGCCACATTGCCTTTTGGTTAAATATAGGTGGAGGCTGCACTCGAAGCTGCGCAAGGGACTGCACCCAGGTCCAGTAGATTGGGAGTCATCGCTGGGGGTAGTTCTGGACCTGTGGGGCCCTCTGCTGGAACCCCAAATCCCCATCCTGTGGCAGCCTGTGTCTGCCTAGTAGCTGCAGTGCGAAAGACGAGCGCCACCGTCCTGCGATCCGGTTGGCAGCTGTTGGGAGGGTCACGGGGTTACCATTTTCTCCTTCCCCTGCCAATGCTCCACTGGTTGAACGTGCTTCCCAGCATTCGGCTGTTGGCAGAGAGCTGCTGAGATGTTGAAATAGTGGCCTGGCTGACCTGCTGCCCTCATTAAGCCTCCAAGAAGCCTGGCTTCTCTTCCACCATTGCAGAAGCATCTCTTGCAGTACTTTCAGACCAGGGAAAGAATGTACACTAGAAGACTGATGGATGGGGTGCCGCCACTCTGTCTGGACACCCCATTCCTGTCCTGTAATCCTAATGCAACGCCCACATTAAACGCTCCTGCTGAGGTTTGCCCCTTCTCCGGCCAGGCGGAACTCCATGCTGATGTCCAATGTCCTCGCCTTCCTCGCCGCCGTGCTCATGGGTTTCTCGAAGATGGCTGCCTCCTTTGAGATGCTGATCTTGGGCCGCTTCATTATTGGGGTATATTCTGGCCTCACCACAGGCTTCGTGCCCATGTATGTGGGCGAAGTGTCCCCCACAGCCCTCCGGGGGGCTCTGGGGACACTCCACCAGCTCGGCATCGTTGTGGGGATCCTCATCGCACAGGTGAGTTGGTTCTCGGCGGCGCCCTCGGTTCGTTTGGCTTGAGGGCTGATTTGGTCGGGAAGCTCTGCCCAGGTCACCCTGACTAACCCTACTCGCTGCCTTTCCCCGGCAGGTGTTCGGCTTGGATCTGATCATGGGGAGCGAGAGCCTGTGGCCCCTGCTGCTGGGCTTCGTCTTCCTCCCTTCCCTGCTGCAGTGCATCCTCCTGCCCTTTGCTCCGGAGAGCCCTCGCTTCCTCCTCATCAACCGTAACGAGGAGAACAAGGCCAAGAATGGTGAGCACAGCTTCTCACGCGAGCGCCTCTGCATGAAAGGACTCGCCTTGCTGGTAGGGACGGGGAGACCCAGGACTGAGATGGACGGCCCCCGTTCAGAACGGGGCTGCAGCTCTCAACCCGGGCGCAGAGCCTCGGCCTGTGGGTCAGATCTGACCTGCCTGGGACCCCCCTCCCCGAGCTGCCCCTCCCCTGTCCTCCGCCCTTCCTGCACTGCTCCTCAGCAGGTGGTTTCTGGCTTCTGCACAATCCCTGCCCCTCCCACTTCCCAAAATGTGGCAGTGCCCCTCCTAAGGCACAGCGCCTGGCATCCAGATCCTTCCGCGAGAATCAGGTGGAATTTTAGCCCCCACTCCCCCCCCCCCGACCACTTCGCAGACCTAGAAGCAGGAGAGCCGGTGCTCGGCTCGGACTGAATGCCATGGCAGGAGCCTCCCTTCCTAGCCAGGCACTCCGAAACTCCGATTCCAGCATCCCTGCAGCCTGCCCGCTTGCGAGCGTGAAGCTGCCGCCGCCCGGATGGCTCCTGCCCAATGCCACTTTCTCCCCAGTTCTCAAGAAACTCCGCGGGACGACTGATGTCAGCAGCGACCTCCAGGAGATGAAGGAGGAGAGCCGGCAAATGATGCGGGAGAAGAAAGTGACCATCGCGGAGCTTTTCCGCTCACCCATGTACCGCCAGCCCATCCTCATCGCCATCATCCTGCAGCTTTCTCAGCAGCTCTCAGGCATTAACGCGGTGAGCGGCAGGCGGGCACAGAGTGGGCATAGTCCTGAGGTTTATTTACCCTTCACTCAGCTTGGAGAGATCCTGCTAGAAGTCTGTGTTCGTTTTGCCATCTGGAATATCAGCAAACCACACTGTCACTTTGTGGCTTATTCATGATGGCGCGTCATTGACAAACGAGTTAAATAGCACCATTCCTTGGAACCTCTGTTTCTTATGCTGCCATGCTAAGAACGCTGATTGCATCTGCTCTCTGCTCCTCGTCCTTTAAGCAGTTACTAACCCATAAAAGGAGCTCTCTCTCTATCTCGTGGCTGCTTCGTTGGCTTTGTAGCCTTTGGTGAGGGGCCTCGTCAAACACCTTGGAACGTCTAGGTATACGATGTCTGTGCTGGCCTGCCCTGTTCACATGCTTATGGTTTCTAAAAGGTTAATCGGGCAGGACTTAGATTTGCGGCGGTGGTGTTGATTCTTCCATAGCAGGACTTGTTCTTCTTTGTGCTTGTCCATTTTATCTTTAATAAGCTAAATGCATCCCCCCCCCCGCATTTACTGGAAAGTGATGTGATCCACCCAACTCCTGTTTAAGGCCTTGAGGTGTTTATTCTGTTGCTTTGTTGAGGGTTCTTCTCCCGCTTTTGCTGTGGGAGGAAATAGTAGGGATTTCCCCCTTACAGGGGGAATTTTCCCAGGGGTCCTGCCTTTGCCCTGTCTACATACAGCTAGACAGACTTCTGTAGACTAACCACGAGGTGGCAATGTGCTCCAGCTGCATTGTCCCGGATTTGGGACGTTTCACGGGGCTGCAGTCTGCAGTGCAAGGGCTGCCCGCTGAGGAGAAATGGCTTTGCAGGCTCCCCAAGCCCAGCGTACGCCGTAGAGCCAAACAGCAGCCCCGCCTCTTTCGAGTGCTCACCGGTGCTACCACTGGGCAGAGTTTCCGTAGCAGCCAGGCCTTATCCTTCCCAAAGCACAATGTCCCGGAGGTTTCCTTGTGCTGGGGCACAGCTCCTTTGCTTACATTCTCCTTATTTTTTCTAGGTTTTCTACTATTCCACGAGCATCTTTGAAAAATCTGGGGTGCAGCAGCCAGTCTACGCTACGATCGGGTCAGGGGTTGTCAACACAGCCTTCACGGTTGTCTCGGTGAGTGGCAGGTTGGACGCTTGGGTTTTGTTTCACTGGACAGGTGAGGTTCATCCAGACTTCCCTGCCCTGCTGGTGCTCTCCAGGTGTATTGTGGGACCCTTCCTTATGCCCCATTCCCAAAAGTCATCCTGAACAGACCGGCTTCTGAAAGATCCTGCAGCTTGCAGGGGAATTATGTCCTGAGGCAGCCATACAGAATCTCAGTATCCCTAGTCAGACAGTGAAAAGAGGTGGTCAAGTCCTGATTAAATATGGGCAACATGACTGGGCACTTTTGCCCAAGAAGAAACTCTGCTGGCCCCGCACAGGTTCCCTGCACAAGTCCCCGATCCAGCGGTGCCTTCTCCCGAGTAGGCCCACCGCTGCCAGAGGGATCAGGAGGCCTGTACTCAGCCACATCCAAGGAGTGGATCCCCCGGGCCCCTTCTTGGGAATGAGTTCTCAGGGCGGAACCTCACTGCTGGGCCCCTTTGCACCCTTTCGTTCTACTGACCTGCTGTTCATTTTCTCTCCCTCCCCCCGCCAATAGCTGTTTGTGGTGGAGCGGGCTGGACGAAGGACTCTTCACCTGGTCGGCCTGGCTGGAATGGCGGGCTGCGCGGTCCTCATGACGATCGCCTTGGCCCTTCTGGTGAGTAGCTGCTGACCAGAAGGCGCTCCATCCATGGCGGGATGTGGGGAGAGGCGGGCGCCTGCATCTCTCGTGGGCGGGAGAGGAGAGGAGCCTGGGCAATCTCTAGGCTGGCTCCCCAGATCAGGCACTTCTCCCTTCAAGGAGGACACCGTTACAGCGATGGGTTGAAGGGGCAGGCCACCTGCCTGAAGTCAAGAGAGGCCCGACAGGACAAGCTGAGCTCCAGGAAGCCACGGAAGCCGTGGCTACAGCCTGCCAGGAAATCCAAAGTGCTTCACTTGGAAACCACATTAATAAACAGTGGAATAAAGGCACTTTTTCCTATCTTGGGCCACTTGAGATGAAGCTTACGGCATTTTTAGAAGCCATGGGCATACTAAATAAATCTGCAGACCTTCTTGTGGGTAGAATCAACAGTGCTGGACTTGGCCTGCAGAACCCTGGGTTCCAGCCCGTAAAGCTGGCCAGATGCCATCCATGTGGGCACTCCGTCGCAAGCCGTCCGGCCTCCTGGGCAGCGTGGATGTGGGCAATCACGTGGAAGGCGCCCACATGGCTCTTACACGTCTTCTTCTGATGCAGGAGCAACTGTCTTGGATGTCCTACATCAGCATCATCGCCATCTTTGGCTTCGTGGCCTTCTTTGAGATCGGCCCAGGCCCCATTCCGTGGTTCATCGTGGCAGAGCTGTTCAGCCAAGGCCCGCGACCTGCTGCCTTCGCCGTTGCAGGGCTGTCGAACTGGACGTCCAACTTTATTGTGGGCATGGGCTTTCAGTATGTGGCGGTAAGTTCCTCCCAGGGTCTCTGCCCTCGCGCTGGATGAACTGCTAGGTTGTTCGTGGCGGGGCGGGGCAATATTTCAGTTTAGGGGGCCAGCTGCAAAACGGGAAGGTGCCACGTTCTGTCCGTGGACGGGGCCAGAGAAGGGTGGTCACGGACATTTCAAGCCCGCTTAGGCCTCAACTTTTGAATAGCAGCCTGAACTGTGACCCTCTGCATGCGACTCACATGCACACCCCCATTTTCAGCAGCAGCTCTTCTGCCTGCAAAACCTGCAGCTCGGGCTCTTGGCAACAGTTCAGTTCTCTGCGGGGTATTTTAGTTAGGGACATGTGGCGGATGCGCCTGGGAGTGGGAATCCCTCAGGCCTGCCTCCACGGACCCGGCCCACTTTGTGGCAACCCACAATCTATGCTCGTGACGAATGTTCGTGAGGAGCTTGCCAGGAATCGAGCTGCATGTGCTGCCCACACAGCCCCTTCCTCGCACGCCAGGATCAGCTGCTCAAATGGCGGCTGTTCCTGGGGCCAAAGAAGGCTGGCCGCTAGGGGCGCCCCAGGAGAGCAGCTCCACCAACTTCTGCTCAGCTGCCCCCTGGAAAAAGGCTGCCAGTTGCACAGGTAGGGATCCGCACACCTTTGCAGACTTCCTCTCCGCTTGGCTTGGCTTGGCTTGGCTTGCTTTGGAGGACTGGGCTGAGAACAAGAGGAGCCCGGGAGTCCTTGGAGGGGAGCCTTCCAGCGGGTTCAATGCAGCCTTAATTCTCAGACCCTTTTATGTCCAGTTAGTGATGGAAGGTGACAGTAGACGAAACGTCGCTGCTGGATGCAGCGGTTCCTCACTCTGCGGCTCAGCTCTGCGATTAGCGGCGGACTTCATATATAATTCTCTTGTCAGGTTACGCTGCAGGGTGGCCGAGAAAGTGCTGCGTTTGCTCACGTCTGCAGCTAAACCCGGCACAGACCTGGTTTCACTCAGTGCCCTTTGCAGTTCGACCCCAGCCAGTGCCAGCGCTTCCCTGGGTGCGGCTTCAGTTCCCAAGACGAATGGAGCCGTAGGGATGGCATGGGATGGCCTGGTCAGCCCCTTGGCCGCCGAGCTGCAGCTCCGCTGCTCCGTTTCCTCTCGCTGGCCTCTCGCTGGTTGGGGCGTGGCTGACCACCCGGGCCACTTGAATCAGATTTTAATAAGTGCACAATGCCTGCTGAACTGGCATGGCCCCTCGGAGCTGGATTAGTGGAAGTTAGTATGTTTACATCCCTCTTTCCTCCCCCGGCGGAGCTGAAGACGGCTCCACGCGCTTCCAGGGGTCTCCCCTCCAAGCTGGGCCCAGCCCAGGCCTCTGAGCTTCAACGTGGCGGGATTGCCTGGAATGACCGTGTCGCTTCTGCTCCCCTTGCAGGAGCTATGTGGCGCCTACGTCTTCATCATCTTCACAGTGCTTCTGGTCCTCTTTTTCATCTTCACCTACTTCAAAGTGCCGGAAACCAAGGGCCGAACCTTTGACGAGATTGCCTCTGGCTTCCGCCAGGGAGGGGCTGCACAGGGCGAGAACAAGACGCCGGACGAGTTCCACAGCTTGGGTGCCGACTCCCAAGTCTAAGCCGTGATGACCGGCGGGTGGGCGGGCTGGCTGGCTGGCTGCTCCCTTGCTTGACTCCTTTCCTGCCTGTTCTTACTGCTTACAGAGAAACCAGGCCCGGGGCGAAGGAGGTATTTGGGCCTCTTTCAGGGCCTGCTACCTGGTTTCCAGGTTATGAACTGACACCCTCCTGCTAGGAAGGGCTAGCTGATCTCACATCCAGTATTTCAACGCTGACAAGATTTTGAAGTGATGGCGAACGGTCAAGCCAAGCCGCCTCCTCCAGGCTGGAAGCATTTCTTTCACCTCAACCTCCCTCCTCTTTTTCCCAAGCAGGGAAAAAAGCAGGAACCCCTCACCCCCACCCAAGTTTGCAACACTGGAAGCAACGCATTTAAAACATGGGATCAAAAGAAAACTGTTTTGCATTTGCTTTTAAAGATGTAATTACACTTTTTAGAAGGCCTAAACTGAGAAGGCCAGTGTTTAAAAGTCATGGGGAAATACATCTTGGGGAAGAGAAAAGCTCTGGTGTTGCTCCAGGCCAGTAATTTTAAGCTTGTGCAGGCGCTACACTTGCCCTAGCCTGAGATGTCTCTTCCATGAAACTATTCAAGGAAAGCAACGGTTGCCCCTATGTGGGGCAAAACGGTCCCTTCTGCCCCACCGTACTGTTTTCTAGAGAGGTCAGTGGAGGTCACCATGGTTGGCAGGAGTGGAAGATGGAGGTTCTCAAAATGCCTGGGAACCAGATGCAAACCCCTTCCTCCTCACTGAATACTTTGGCACCAAAATTGAATCTCTGTCACCCTTTCGTGGGATCTCTGAAATCCTTGCTTGGGAGGCAGCTGATGGGAGGACTGAGCCAGTTTGGGAAGGAAAACCACAGAGCCCTCCCCCCAGTGGAGATCCGAAAGCAACCTTAGCTGGTCCGAATTGTAGCCAGAGGTGACCTGCTGTGGGAGACTCTCTTGGAGACATCATGCAATGGGCCAGAAACTCCTCATGCATTTCACCACACAGCTGGGCCCCTTTTGGGACTGGGTTTGGATTGGCTGCCCCTTGTGTGTGCCAAGTTGCTTGAGGCATGGCATAGGGGGACGGCCTGAACCCCTCCCCTAATCGCAAAGTGTTCTGGAAGCAGTCAGTCCAGCTCTCTGGCAAGAATGGCCTGGGTGGGCAGGGAGGGGGGAGGACGAGTGCCCAGGTGGGAGGCGGTGCACTGGTCTGGCCCCTGCGCGGGGAGTGTGCCTGTCGACAGCGGTGGCCCTTGCCTGCCGCTGCAGTTCTCCACCGCGGGCAGCGAGGCGTCCACTTGCCAAAACGCACATGTCGCCCCAGGTTTCCTGCCTTGGTCCAGCATGCTCCTGTCTTCCCGGTGGCTTCTTAGGAGTCTTAGAGTGGGCTCCCAGCAGCCTCCAGGGGCGGGCATGAAGGTGGCGGCAGCCCCCCCCCCCGCTGCTCCCCGCCCTGAGGCAAACAGCCTCCAGAGGAGGCTTCGTTTAGCACGCGGGGGCAACTGCTCTCACGGGCCGGAGGGCCACTGGGTCCAGCCCCTGCTCAGTCTAGGACTCCCAGTGAAACCCTCAGGTAGCTGTCCACTTGTGCATAGTGTGGGAGAGCCCACAATCTCCCGAGGCCACTGGTTCCTTTGTCATACTGCCCTAGCAGGAGGTTCTTCCTGGGATCTAGCTGGAATCGGGCTAGACAGAATCTGACAGAATCTGGTAACTTGAGTCTGTTATTCCATGTCCTGCACTCCGGGATGACGGAGAAGAGACCCTGACCTTCCTCTTTGTGACAGCCTTCCAGGTATCTGTGGAGCACTATCTTATCACCCCTTAGTCTTCTCAAGGCTAAACATGCCCAGCTCTTCCCAGCTCCTGGCAGGGCGTTGTTTCCAGTCCCCCGACCGTCTCTGCCGCCCTCCTCCGAACCCTTCCCAGCTTGTCTGCATCTCTTAAACCGGTGCCAGAACTGGACACAGCGCGCCAGATGAGGCCTGACTATGGACAAACCTCTTTGTCCTCCATGGGATTGTCTCATCCTCCTTCCATGCATCCATAGGCCAGCGTGGGAGCAAGCTCCTGCTGTTCATTCCATCATCCTGGTGTCCTCCAGACCAGCAGCCAGCTGTGAATCGGGCTCTGCAGATTCCTCCAGCAGGAAAGGGCCTGAACGACGATAGGTCTGACACCTTGCATATCGTGGTTTTCCCAAGAGCCTTTTGCCCCAGCCCTCTTCCTTCGCCAGAGCACCCGAGAAGTTGTCCCACTGCGCCCGTTCCAAGTGAGGCCTCCTTTCCTCGCCTTCTGCACCCTTGATTCACTGACACCCCCCCTCCCGGCCAAAAGTAAAATAAAAAAATGCTGCATATATTTCCCGCTTACTGTGTATGGACTGGAAATATTTATATTATATATATTGTATTTTTTTCAACTGTGTTAATAGTACACTAAGTTATAGTCTGGTTTCAGATGAACAAGCAGCATACTGTAAATATTGAGATATATTCATAATGTATGATACAGCAGTTTTAGTTAAATAGCAACTGTAATACCAGACTTGTATATGACTGACCTTTTTTGTATAGATCAAACTCACCTGCACTGTAGTTGCATCTATTGCACTGATGTTTTAATTTTTCTTTGGCATATTCAATCAATCCCATCCCAGACCTTAAAGGACCCTGGCTCCCCAAGCAAATGTTGCGTAGACGTTTTCGGCAGGTTAGCAAAAAGAAAGAAGAGAAAGGAAAAATGCATACACAGCTTTTTAATACTACATTGTTATTTATTTTTCTGTCTTTCAAAGTGAAGAGACAACCACATCTGGAAAAAATGGTTTTCATGGGGAAGGGAAAAACCGTCTAACTTGCTAACTTTGGGTTTGCTGTGTGTAGGGCATGGATGGCAGTCCGGACTTTCTGAAGTGCCAATTCGAGGAGTGTGGGGAACAAGAAACAAAGCATCCAGAAAGCAATTTGTATGGCTGGAATAAATGAAAAGAGTGTTTGAGAGCCCTGGACTGTGTCGTGTTTTTATTCTGGGAAATTCTCTGGCTGGGAGGGAGCACTGCGGAGGGCCATGGGGTTTTCCGTTTCTCAAATGGGGGAGCTGAAGATCTTTGCCTCCTCGAGTCACTCCGCTGATGTTATCCTCGGGGGAGTCTCTGTGAGAGATGTTCTGGTGCCCCACTCCCAGCTTCTGGAACCCACAGGCAGGCCCCCGAAGCGGCAGCGCCCCCACCGCTCACCTCATAGCTAGAGCCACGTGGCCGATGCTCACAGGCAGAGGGGCACGTGGGCGCCTGGCAACGCAGACTGCGCCCTTCCTCCTGCCTTCCCATGCCTCTGATTCTGTGGCTGCACCACAGGGAGCTGGGAGTCCAAATTCAAGATTCACCAAGGGGTACGTGCACCCCAGCTAGTGGGAAGACTCGCTGGCTAGGGCTTGCTTTGAGCCAGAAGCCAACTGGGCCAGACCACTGGCCCATCTGGCTTGGTGCAAAGGCGCCTTTTCCCCACCTTCGCCCAGAGATGCTGGGATGAAGCCTGGGGCCCCTTCCAGGCAAAGCAATCCTCGTTCAGCAGCGCGAGGCAGGTGCCTTTGCCAGGCCTTCTCTGGAGGAGCCAGCCCTGAGGCTCTGCACACGGGACAGTCCCTTTTCCAGGGAGGATCACCTCAGAAACTGCTTTGAGCCAGGCCACCCTTTTGCTTGGCGGTGCTGCTGCTGAGTGGAGGGAGCTCCGGGGGCTTCCAGCCAGGGTCCATCCCTGCTCACATCTCCTGCTTGCGAAAGCGAGGCTCTGTGGTCGGGTTTGTGCAGCTGCATGTGCTCCCCCCGACACACACACAGCAACTATCCGGAAGGTGGTGTTTGCACAGCCACAGCTTTCTTTAGAACAGCTGTGGCAGCAGAGGACTTCTCCCTGGCACATGTGGTGCGGCTCACTTGCCTAAACCATCTGGAGCTCCTGGCTCGCTCTTGTGGATCACCTGCTCATTACATACAGCACATCTATTATGGTCTGGCTTGTGTCAGGTGACTGGTGTGTCTGTGTGCAAGCGCAGAAATAACCCGCTGCAGCAAATGACAGGGTGACCCTCGGCCCAACAATTAACTGCTGGACTGGAGTGCTCCTGACCCGACCCTTCCAAGCTGATGACTCCAGAGACACATAAGAAGTGCAAATTTAATTAAAACAAGGAATAGGCTAATGGAACAGCTACCAAATTCCAGCTCCATATTATTATCCAGATCCCGTTCGAAAAGTGGCACTGGAGTGTGGCTCTATTTCGCATAGATAGGTTTGGACTTCATCAGTTTAATCAAGTGATAAAACGATTCATCTGGTGTATATTTGGGCAGCTGCTGTGTGATTTGCTGAACTTTCGTCACAAGTTCATGAGCCTGGAAGGATGCACAACAAGAACAAGGGGGCGGGGGGAAAACGACACAGTGCCATGTTAATTATGCTAGCCCTGGCCAGGAGGTGAGAAACTCACATGTTCCCGAAGCTAATTTAAGGTGCGATCCACTGGGGATGCTTGTAGCCTTCCAAACGCAGAGGATTATGGACTAAGTGGGAGGAGCACAGGTGAAAGTTGCCTTTGTGCGCCTTCCACTTGGCAGAGCAGGTAGGCTGCTGATTTTGGTCCTCTTAACGGGCGCCTAAAGAAGTGGGAGAAGGGACTGAGGCAGCAGCAGGGAAGATAGAAATATTATAAATATGTATTTTAAAATAATATGCAGAAGGTGTGTTTGGGACTGGCAGTTTAAGTAAAGGCCAGGAGATTTTTTCTCTCAGGCTTTTGGGAAGGGGGCAGCTAGAAACATGTGCAGAGTGCTTTGAATTCATCAGAACACTGATCCATGGAACCCGGCGCTGTATTCCCCAAAAGGCAGACGCATTCCAAGGTGCCTGGCTGAGCGACCTCTCTCCCACCAGCAGTCTCAGGGCAGGGGAATCCCATTCTGTGATCTGTGCTGGGGTACAACATCTCTCTCAAGTTTGAGGGCCAATTCCATTTTGGGGAAGAGACGGATGGGGCCAGTGGCAAAGAGGGCGGCAGACCAGCACATTGTAATTAAAAATACTTATTGGTGCTCAGGATGAAACTGCACATTCGAGCAGGGCATCCTACACGGTCCCAGCACGGTGCCTATGGCAATCCTCCACCAGTACCCCTGCATGGGTCTGCTCATGGGCATGTCAAATTTTTGTTTCAAACTTCCATTTTTAAACACAGATGTACATGCTTGCATTTGTAACGCATACAGCTTTCTATCACTTATCCGAAGGAAAAGGGGATCAAATATCTAAACAAAGGTGGCATCTACATGCCCCCATCATATAAACTGTGGTAAGATCAAAACTTTGATCTATGGCATTTTAGAAGGTCGCCAAGTCAGCCTTTACCTGTCAAAAGGGCGGGGAAAAGTCATTCTTCTCCATTTGTTAATTTCCACCAAGCAGGTAAATAACTTTAAAGTGTCTGTCTGTCGTCGTTAGGTAGCATCACGTTTTCTCTGACTTATGGCGACCCCATGAACGAATGCTCTCCCGTGAATGTTTAAAAAACTTTCCAGTACAAAATGGATCCGTGAAATGGCCACCTCCCAACAGGAGGGGCACGTGCTGTGTTGTACTGCCAGCATTTAACTGAGTTAGAGGATCTATTATTCAAGAGTGCTGTGGTCTCCAACAGACAGGAAACAGGAGGTTTCGCTGAACAAAGGCGCTGCCGGACGGCCACAGAGGGGGAATGTGGCAATCCACTACTCAGGCACTTGGTGGCAAGGCTCACAACAGGTTCTTATATTCCCAAAAGTGCCTGCCGTTCCAAAATCTTTGGGAAACCAAGCACTGTGCATTCGAGTATTATGCTTTGCTTAATGCAGTGCAGGGACTAGGAACCCCTTTCAGCCGAAGAGCAGAATGCAGTTCAGAAAAGCTCTCAGTGGACTCTCCCGGGGGGGGGGGGGGGGGGCAGAAAGCAAATGGGATGGGTAGCAAATACAAGCACAAACCTCTGGCTGCCAGTAAGCAAGCACTAGGAGAGACATTCTGACCTTTTTGAGTGGGGGAAACTGCACAAATTTTGGGAAACCAAAAGCAATCAGAAGTTTAGTAAAATGGAAGTACGGCCAGAAGAAGAAAACTCCAGGGAACTCCTGAGGGCCAGACTGGGACGCAGGCCTGAGCTTCCTCTCGCCACCTTAATGCAATTGTGTGTGTTCCTAATTTTAGTGGGATCACTGTTGCCTAGGAAGTGGGGGGTGACTCCTTCCAAACCACCAACTGCTTTCCCCCAGAAATTCCACCCCATGAGAGGGTGCATGAGAGGGCCCATGGAGACGTTCCCCTCTCCTTATTTAACTCCAGTCCACAGGGTCAGGGGGCTGCCAGGAAGAGTAGGGTGGGGGAGAAATAATCTCTGTTCCTCCTGCGTTGGTCCTAATCCAAATGGGGATTGCATGCAGTCATGCGGAGGTCAAACAGAATACAAGCTAAGCTGCATGCTGTGTGAATGGCATAATGGGCACTCTGACTCATGTGCCACCTTATGGGAGGCATTTCAGCCTCTCGGAACAGCAGGGAAGAGCACGATGTCTTGGAAATGGCCAAGTGCTTGCTGGTCGGGGCACAGGGGCCACCCCTGAAACCCAAAGGCGAAACTGGGGCTCTGGGCTGGAGGCTCACTGCCAGTCAGACAGCGAGTGAGCTAGCTCAGCTTCCCCAACCTGCTGCCCTCTGATGTCCTGCACGGCAACTTCCAACACCTTCAGCCAGCACAGCCGTGTTGGCCGACAGTGATGGGAGCTGTAATCCAGTGCATCAGGGCTGGCTGGCATAAAGTCAAGCTTCCACCTCTTGTCAACTGCTTGCCAACTTGCCTTTGACATGTCCTGGGTCAAGTAATGCAGCATGGCCAGAGCGTGGAGCACTTTGGCCAACTTGGCTGGCTGCGGCCTTGGGGAGCGCTCTCGGAAATCCAAGATGGCGTTCAGCATCTGGGTGGCTTCAGCACGTTGCTTCTCATCTGCAAAGGAGACCAAGTGTGGATGAAGAGGGCCTCTCTAGGCTGAGAGTCCCTGCTGCCCCACTCCCCTTGGCATGGACTTCCCAATCGTTAAGTAACAGCCTCGCCCAATCACCTGGCAGGTTCTTGGAAATACAGAGGCAGCACTATAACACATGCCTATCTTCCCACCAAGTCAGTCTTGTCTGATTTGTGATGTGAACGCAAAGCAACTGACTCAGTCTGCGTCCATAGGAGTAAAACCACGGCTCTAAAGAGAAAAGCACCCCTGCTCTTTAGATGACGCATGCATGCATGCAAGTCCTCAATCTGTTGCATTTTAGAAGGCGAGTTTATCCTTCCAAGGTTGCAAAGCAGCCTTTTACCTATCAAAGGGGCATGAAGAAAGCATCTCCCTCCGTTTATTAATTTCCAAAAAGCAGGTACATAAAAAGCACCTGCCCAGACACCAAGCCCATCTTCAGAGCCCCTCCTTCAGGTGCCCCTGCTCAATGAAGTGGCTGTGGTGGAATGCCTTTTCTGTGCCTTTTCAGTGGTGGCACCTGGGTTGTGTTTCCACATTTTCATACTGCCACATTTCAATGTTGCGACCCCTGCAGAGTGCTTCAGGCTTTGGGTGGCACAGAAAGGTAACAGGGACTTCCACGTCTCTGACATGCACTGGAGGGAGTGCCTCTTTTCAGGGGCTACCCGAATTATAACCCTTGCAAAGGGAAGGAAAGGCTTCTCGAGCAGTGCAGCTACCAAGAGTCTCTTTCAGGGGCTCCTCTTCGTCAGAAAGCACATCCAGTTCAGCTGGATTCATAAATGCTTGAAAATGGATGTCGATCAAGTGTCCAAGGTGCCTGAGCCAGATCTCAACAACCTAGTAAGAACAACAGTAAGAGGCTTGTTAAAAATGAGGAACATGTTATCCCTGGCTTAAGTGGCAACTGAGCTAGACTGCTGCAGCTTTCTGCAGCCTTAGATCCTGCAGATGCATTGGACTACGAATCCTGGGATGCTGGGAATTGTAGTCTAAAAGTTCAGGAGGACCACCAGGTCGTGCAAAAGCTGTATTTCCACAACGCGCTGCATGTGGGGCTACATGATTTGCAGACGTCTAGGAGCGGCCACTGGTCCACAACACGGGTGCTACACTCTGGGCAGGCTGGCTAGGTGACCTGTTCTCGGGTAACACTGCACTGCACTGGTTCCTGGTCCACTGAGCCTGCTGTGGTGCCTTGCATGGCTTGGGTCCTGAGGACTGGAAGGACGACTGAGCACCACACGGACCCGCCTTCCTCGGATGCTTTTGCCTTTCGGCAGTTTGCTGGGCGGCAGCTGGAGAAAGAGGCGCTCCAGTTGCCACACCTGCCTCTGGAACGCCCTCCTGAGCGAGGGTCACCTGGCAGCTACTCTTACGTCCTCTTGATGCCAGCACAGACTTTTTTATCTAACTAGATTGTTGAAAAGTTGAGCCGTTTTGCACTGGTTATTCCTGCTGAAGTTGACAGTATTGATGGGGGATGGTTTCCACCGCTCTTCAGCTTTTTTTTAAACAGAATGCTCTAATAATATTTTTATGTTTTGCTCTTACCTATGTTACCTGCGCAACAGGAACAATGAAGGATGGTGCTAGAAGAACCTTAGTAAAATACAACATAACATAATGTGCTGCTGTCACGTTAAGCCCAAGGCTCCATTCCCCCATTCAGGACGGAGGGGAAATGGGGCAGCATTCTCCAAGGCCTTGGAAGAAGGGCCAAAATGCCTTCTCAATCCTGCCAGAGCGCAGGACATGTCGCTGCCACGTCCACCGTCACCTCTCGATCTGCGCTTGTCGAGGTGGTTCCACTGACCTCAGAGTACAGGGAGTTGGCAACATCCAACACGTTCTGATGGACAAAAATGTTGGCCATGTGGAAATGGCCTCCCGAGACAGCAACATCATTTGTCCCATAGGCACACGAGGCAAAATATACCTGTAACAATACAAAACAAACCCGTTTCGAGTGATTGCACAACCTTTGTGCCAAATGGCAACTCGAAATATGGAGCCAGGAACACAATTGCAGCTTCTTGGCCCAAACCCTGTGGTGCAGCTGTGTGCGTGGTTTTGCCACTGCTTAAAATACGGAGCTGTATGAAGAAGGGTTCTGCCATGGCAGGGTGGGGGGGCGGTTTGCAAGCCAAAAGGCCCAGGCTCAGTGGGTGGCGTCACTGGGGTGGCTGACGCAGGCCCTGGGGGGCCACAGCCAGTTGGGAGGGTGCCGTGCCACAGCCTCTGAACACGTCGTCCGATTCCAGACAAGACCACTCCAAATGTGGGAGGGTGGGGCAGGGAACAGACGTGGAAGATGGTACAGGTTGGCACAGTGATCCATGGTGCAGATAAACTGGAATGAGAAAAGCTTTCTTCTCACTCTCCTAATGCTAGAACTGGCGGTCAATCAGGAAAATGGACTGGTGGGGCTTTTCTGACAGGCGAGAGCACGTGCTTCTTTAGAGTGTTAAATGATGGGATTCTCTGCCCTGTTCCAGCTTGGGTGGCTTTACAGGGGGAGCACACACAGGCGTGGTGGCCAAGGCTTTCCACTGGGCATCCCCAAGCAGTCAAGCCTCTACCTCCAGATTCCACCAGATGCTGGGGGCGAACAGCTGAGGAAGGCTCTCGTTTCTGTTCCCTACCTGCAGGTCTCCTAGCAGCATCAGGCCAGTCCCTGTGAGGAGCAGGATAGAGAGTTAGACAGACCGTTGGCCCGGCCCAGCAGAGCTCTTGCACGCATATATTGCTGCCAAGGGCCTGGAACTTCTGAAGAACAGCTGACCAGGCAACTCTGGCAAACCCATAACTATGGTTAAAGTTGGCTGCTGCTGCCCCGTTCCCAGCAGTGACATCGGCCTGGTACTGAGAAAGACCAAAGCAGCCATTTCAAACCGCAGGGACACGGAAGGGTCATGCAAGAGCCATCGTGAGAGCATTTGGTCTGCCTGGCAGTTTCACAGAGCCTTACATCATTCGCCAGGTGGTACAAGGCGTCCTCAAAGTTCCCTTTGGCAGCGTGAAGCAGACCCAGGTTACGATGCAGGTTAGACTGAACGGCGCTGCTGCAGTAGGAACTCTTGAGGACTATCCAGTGCGCTTGTGAGAGGTATTCCTCCCCTTGTGCGAGATGCCCAAGTCCTGGTGGGAAGAAAAGCCCCAGCGGATGAGTAGACGCTGGGCGAGTCGTGTGGTTTTCAGCTCTCAGTGCCACCCCAGCTACAGAATTCCAGACCCACAAATCTGCAAATTCCCGATGTTTTTGTTTGGTTTGAACCACCCAGAGTTCTCCAGTTCCATGAGGGTGGCCTTTTAAAAACGAACCAAATGGGTCAGCTTGGCCCTGATGGACATGATCACGTCCTTCCTTTACCAGGGTCTTGTGAGAGCCAAGCAGCAGTAAAGACAGCCGTGATGGGAAGAACCATGTTGGGAAGTGAGTGGAGGGAGAGATCGCTTGGAACAGGCATCTCAAGCACACCGGGGGGGGGGGGGGCTGCAGGGGCTGACAATTGCGGGGGATAACCAGGTGGGCTTTGTTGGTTGACAGATGAGGAAAGGGGCGACAGAGGCACTTAGATGGGCGGGAATGGGTTCTGCAGTCCCCAGCCTCTCTGGTGGACACTTGGAACGCTGAGTGAGCTTCATGGGCACTCTCACAAACTGATTGCCACTGGGGAATATTGGGTTACCCAGCTCTAAAATTCACACAATGGACATAGCAGGTCACAAAACACTCATCTCCTAGCAAGCAGGTGGGTAAAAGAATGCGTCCCATGAATTCTGCAAAAAACAAATGAAGAGCAAGTGGCCAGGCACCGTGCAACACATTGTGGCGCTCTGTCTGCAGGGAGAAAGCGTCTCTGGCAGCACCGCAGCCAAACTCACCCAGGCTTGCCTCAGCTAAGATGAGGTACGCGGGCACCAGCTCCACAGAATTCGAGCCGTATACACTGATACTGAATTTCAGAGAATGCAGCGCTGCTGGAATGGCATCCTCATGCTTGCCTTCAAACAGAAAATTCTGGGCTGCAGTTCGGGTCACTTCTGCCAAGAACTTCTGTAAGCAAACAAGGAAGGGTGAGCAGCTGCTGTTGCGACTCTGGCCATTACCTGGGTGAACCGTGACAAGAAGATTCGGCATGTGGAGATGTTCCAATTCCCTCCCGCTGCACTGGGCTCTCCTGGGGGGTGCTGGGAGTAGAAGTCCCACACATCAAGAGGACACTAGACTGAGGAAGGTTGCAGTGGTATAAAACATCCCATTACCAGCCTGCATGTTTAACATTTAAATAAACACTCCCAGGAAGTGATGGAAGGAAGGATGGTGCATAGCAGAGGAAAAGAGATACTCAGTCTTGATTGGGATGTACATATCTTGACTTAGTAAGCTGAGTGGGGTCTCAGCCCTTTTCCCCAGTGCTGCCGCATTGCATCTGCTCAGAAGTCTACAGTTAACCCTAGATTCCCATTACCTCCAAACTGGGAATTATGATGCTCAGGCGGAAACAACTGCAAATCGTAGTCTGGTTTCTATCCAATCCTGACTTTTTCTGAATTAGCAATCATAGCTTCCTGGTTTGGACATAATGGGAAACTAGGGATCACGAAAGATTGTTGAGAGCTAATCAAGGGCACAGAGGAGGAGGAGGAAGAGGCAGCATGCAGTTTACTGAGCTTACAACTGGAACTCAATGAAAACCTCTGCAACATGGAGAATGCTTGAAACACAGGTGCATGCCTTGTGGTGCTTCTCAAACAACTGGAGGGGCTAAATTCTATGACCACCTGGAGGCAATGACTTAGTTTGTATGCTCATCGCAACCTATTGAGGGTTATTTAAGCCATGGTGGATTGCTTGGCAAGCGGGTGACCATTTTCCATATTCAGACACTAGCGGGGGCGGGGGGGTTGGCATGGTTTGTCTTATTGTCTGAACCTGGGCAGCAGGAATTGTTGGAGGATTAAACAATGGTCTGTCGCGGGGAGGGTGTTAAACAATGCTTGAATAATCCTACAACAGACTGTGTGTTATTGCAGGTTCTTTAACCCTTGAACACTTCTTGACATGCAGGTTTTACCAGTGAGCCGAACTCAGGCTGGAGGCTAATCAGAAGTAGGCATAAGGTAGAAGTATAGTCCTGCTGGACCAATCCAAAGTCCGGCCTCTTGTCACCCACGGTGGCCAACCAGCTGCCCATCGGAGACCCACTAACAGGATGTGGAAGCCTCCTTTGCTGTCCCGCCCGCCCAGTGCTTGTGCTTCTCAAGATATCCTGCTTCTGCACACAGATGTTCCACTCAACTCCCAGCTGCCTATGCTAAAAGTCCCACCCTCTTCTGCGCATCTCTCTACTTCCTTTCGGTAATTTATGAAACAACAGAAACGGGCTCAATACAGAGCTCAGTTTCCTTTTGTTCTCCATCACTTTCTACAGATCAAGTCAAACTGCTGCTACTTTTTATTGGAACTTTTAAGGCCTCAATTGCCAGCAGTTCCTCTGCTTTAAACACACCAATCTCTCAGAGCAGAGTCTCCGACTGCTCCCCCCACGTGCCCACACACGTTCCACCAGCTCACCTCTCTGCATATCTTTTGCTCCTGCCCGTGCTTTCTTTCTTTCTCTGAATTGTAAAAAGGCAATGCTGTACGCAGTGGAATGAGTAGTTGGCATATCTTCTCATGCACGCTGACCCAGTCAGCATTCTGATGCTCCACATCGCTGAGATAAGAAATATGGTTATTAGCCATGCATATTGAAGTGAACAGATCTATTATGCCAGTTCCCAAAACCTATCTATTGATCTAAGATTTATTATTTCAATTTATATCCTACCTTCCTACACTTAAGATTCATGGTAACTAACCATAAGAATCCAACAAGCAATAAATTGTACACAGCAATATATTAAATACAAGACAGATAAAACTAATCAAAGATCAAAACAATGAAACCCCAGACAGCAGCCATGAGCAGTTAGACAGATGAATTGGGCAGGCCAATAAATAAATAAATCCCAGCCGGAAGGCAGGACAATAAAGAGGGAGTGAAACAAACTTCTGCAAGGAGGAAGCGCTGGCACAGCTACAAGGAAAGCCCACCAAATGCACCTCAGACCTTGACGAATGGAGTGAAGGGCCTCTCCAAAGGGACCTTACAGGAAGGGTCTTGTCAGCCCCCTATTTATGGCACTCCTTCCTATGAGATAAAGTTTTGGTTGCACTAGTTCCAGTTTTTAAATGGGCTTTGAAACCCTATTTATTCTAAGCTGCTTTTAGTTACAATGCTATAGGGAACCTTTTAATGACTTGACAGTGCCGCTGATGTTCTCTTTCTCATTCGAGCAGCTCAATGTTTTAAAAGTGTGGTGCCGAATCTTGGAATGTTTTAACTGTTACTATAAATATTTTTGCACTTTACCAGCATTACGTTCTAATTGTCCTTGTGTGAATCGCCTTAAGAAGGCCTAGGTGGAAACAGTAGGGTTCTGTGTTATGTGACGCCAAGTCATCTCCGACTTAGCAACTCTGTGAATGAGCATCCTCCAAACAGCCCTGCCTTTGTCAGCCTTGCTCAGCTCTTCTCGACTCAAGGCTGCAGCTTTCTTCATGGAATTGGTCCATCTCATATTCGGTCTTCCCCTCCTTCTTCTACACCTTTCCCTAGCATGAGTGCCTTCTCCAAGGAGTTCTGACTTCTATTTGAAATGCATACATACATATTTAATAAGCAAGTAATGGCAGAACTGTATGAGCCATGTGGGAGAAGCTGGAACCTGAAGCAACCTGCTCCCCAAACACTGAGCAGGAGTGCAGGCCCTCTTTTCAGCCCACGGGCTGCGCTGCGCTCAGGAGGCCTTGTTCCAGTGGTGGGAAGGGTTGAAGGCAAAAGGTTCAGTGCCAAAATGCAAAAAATGCTAGCATATTTTACCTCCTGTTAATTACTCACTTAGCTTTTGCTGCCAGTAACTAAAGGCAAAATCCCATGCATGGTTAAAGAGAAAAACACCTCTGGTTCCTAGCATGACCCAGCTGAAATCGTGAGATTTTATCTTACGTCTTAGGGAAGTATTTAAACTTTATAGAAGGTTTTTAGCAAAAGTTGGACAAAAGCTGATGATCAGTGGTTGTGGGGAAGGGGGTGCGGGTTGGGGAATCCCAGGGAACACGGTGGGGCCACTGGAGGGGCGGATTTGGCCCCTGGTCTGAAGTTCTGCTTTCCAGGTTTAGAGCTTTGCGTATCCTAAGCAACCAGCACACTGAACTGTGCCTGGGAATAGCTGGTGAGGCTGCTGCAGTGTGGGAGTCCCGCGAACCCTCTAACTAGCGTTTCTGTACAGCTCAGCTGACCACACGCCACTCCAGCTCACGTCTCCATACACTCTTCAGAGGCGCGTGTGGTGGCAGTCCAAATGGGATGGCGCTAAGCCGCGTGTCCCCGTGGCCAGAATTTCAGTTTCAGTTTCCTCTAGGAAGAACAGGACTAGGAAGGCAAGAAGAAATTATTGCCGAATCGTGGATGCTCCCATAAATGTAGGAAGCTGCCTTTTGGGGTCAGGCTGTAGGCCCATTTACTGCAGTGCTCCCTGGCAGGGTGGCCCCACTCCAAGGGTGCAGCAGGTGCTACAACGCCATTGTGCCCCTCTCCTCCCCTTATCTTTTAAAAGCAAAACCTTTTCTTCACCAAGTCGACCGTTTCTAGGGTGGCTACCTGCAGCTGCTGCTGGGCTACCACGCTGGGCCTCCTGGCAGCTTCTGAGTTGCAACGGCACCCATGGCAAATATGTGCACTGTGGTCCTGCCATGCCGGGGTCCTCTCTTGGAGCAGAAAGGCTCTCCACCCAGCCAGGCCTCCCGTAACAGGCAGTGCTGCCAAGGGGAAGTCTGGCAAAAAATGGGCTCAAGAGTTGGCCAGCCAGGGACAGCCCCTTCCCTCCACAAAGACGGGGGTCTTCGGGTGAAGAGCCAATGCAGCTCCAGCTTCTGCAGCTCCATTACAGTTTGCTATTTAATCTTTGAATGTGTGTGTGTGTGGGGGGGGGTGTTGAGGGTTTCTGGCTGTGCTCTAGGGTTTCATGTATGATTGGAACTAGGATGTGTGTGGGGGGGGAGGGGGGGTCTGGACCAGTCCAGCCTGGGAAGTATATGCTCTAAGTGGCGGTGTGTGTGCATGTGTTGCTCTGGATTTTGTGTGTTTATCTAAGGATGCTTTTTTGTGTGCCTCTGAGAATACAGTGTTTTAGTTTAATTACTATTATTATCATTGTTATTGCGGCTTGTGGCATGTCTGGGTGGGTATGGCTTGAAGTGTGTATAAACGAGTGTGGCTGTGTGTATGTGCATTTTGCAAAGGGTTGCTGCTGGATGCCCAAGGGATATATATTATGAGATATACTCATGATTATTCTTATTACATGCAAAGGGATGTGCCTACTTTCTCCAGAGTAATCCAGCTATTACTTCTTACAAGAGAGTTGTAATCTGGGATTCTGTACTGCGTCGCTCAGAATGGGCCTGCTTTGGTTCATTCTTTAGGATGGATACACAAATACATGGAATTCTGGATATTTTTGGAACTTGCTTCTACTTTTTTGTGCAGCTCAATTATTGTAATGATCATTACCATTCTGCTTGTGTGGGCTCTCCCCTCCCACTCATCATCTTAGATTAATTTGATTACCTGTGGAATGCGAGTTGTTACCGGGTTCAAAGGAGTACTTTTGTATGCCTGAGTGATCTCCACACCCGTGTTTGCTTTGTGCCTCAGTTTACGCCTTCTGAGCTATGGGCTGCTGACAGGAATGCAAAGACTCATCCACCTTGCAGGGCCCCTTGGCTGCACACGCCAACTGGCTGCCAGCCTCCCATGTTGTCTACACTGACTAGCAGCTCTCCAAAGTTCTAGGAAAGGGTTTTCCTAGCCCAATTGCAGAAGGCAGGGGTGGAACCTGAGGTCTTCTACATGCAAACCGTGTGCTGCACCACGCAGCTAGTGGTCCTTCCCATTTGGCCATCTTACAGTAGCTGTTCTACTGATGAAGCAAAAGACCATACTCCATTAAAAGAATTATCCTATATTAGTTCTAAATATACTTCTGCAGCTGCATACTATGTGAAATGATGGTGAATCCAAGTCTTTTCCAGCTTTAAGTGGAGATACTAGGAGCCTGTTGCATGTAATTATGATATGTACTCTGTCAGGATGGTCCCTTCTCTGGAGAGGATTACATAGAAAACAACCCTATACCAAGCCTATTATCCATCCATCTGCACCAAAATTATTTATTCAGACTGTCCAGAATCTTGCATGGGGAGGACTCTTTCACATCATGTCCTACCCGATCTGAAGATATTCCACGGACTGAGCCTGGGGCCTTGACCATATAAGACAGGTGCCCTACCACTGATCTCTCGTCCCTCCAACTTGCTTCTAATAGTCCTCAGATAACTTAGGGCACTATGAAATCCTATGCATCGTGTCAGGATCCAAGACAGCAAGAGCCAAGACAGAGGAAGCAAGGCAAGACAGGGGTTAAACACTGATCAGAACCTGGTAGCTGGGTCAGAGGCATAGTCATGCTCAAGAAAAAGGCCAAGATATGTGTCAGGGAAAGACAAGGACACAATCACTGGTCAAAAACCAGGAAGACAACAAAAGCAGGCAGCAGTTACCTGGGTCAGGAACAACAAAGATGTGGCAAGCAAGGCAAGGCAGCAAGGCAAAGCAGGATAAGGCAAAGCAAGGC